GCATTGAAGACATTTCCTACAGAACCCCCTTCATCCCCCCACCTGCAATCTACATGCAGACTCGTGTTCAGCTGTAAATACTGCAATGGAAACATTAAGAGGCACCAATGGGGGTGGTGAGAGTGGGTTTTCCTCTCAGCCTGTGTCAGCTTTTGTGGTGGAAAATCCCCCAAGAGTGCCGAAAGCAGCAGGGAGGGGCTCGTCACAAGGGAAGAAAGCCCTCTCTTCTTTCAAACGCATGATTCATCACAGTAGTCACGAGGATGCCCAGAAGCGTGGAAGAGGGGGTTTTTAGAATGGTTTCAAAGGTGTCCTCTCATTCCTGCAGAGGCAGGCCCAGGAAAAGCCAGAGCTTAGGCAGGAAACATTCTGACCTGTGGACAAGCATTTGGAGCAGGCCATGACCAGAGACCTCAGTGGGCCACCACAGTGGTCTGCATCCCCCTCACCCCCCACCAGCTGGGAGGGGCAGAACTTTTGAAGGGCTTGGGTTTGCCCTGAGCCACTCCCAGGAGGAAGCTGCAGCATGTGGAAGCCTCAGTGCACCAGTATGCAGCCAGCACGGCTGAGAACGAACACCCTGAAATAGGCCCACCCCCATCAGTTTTGAGGGCCAGCAACTCCATTATCAGGACAGCATCAAGCACCATCTGCAAATATTTCCATAGTTTGCAGAGCCTGTCTACACCCCTCACAGCCTCTGATCTCATCACAGCGCTGCTGGCCAAGGATTATCCTTAACCCCATTTGACAGGTGTCCAAGTTGAGCCTCAGAGAAATAAAGTGAAGCACCTAAGGTAGTTCACAGACTAAGGACTCATCCCACTATATAACCCTCCCTCCATCAGGTTACCAGTGATGATGATGATGATGATTCTTTCTGAGCATCTCTTGTGTGCCAGACATATGACTAGGTGCTTCGCTTTCATTAGCTTGTTTGCTCTTCAGAACAACCTCAGAAGTAGGCAGCGGTACCCCATTTTATAGACCCAGAGGAGGTAATAATAGTAAGTGTTTATACTTGGTGCCAGGCACTGTTCTAAGCACGTAATAATCTCAACCGTCCTGTGAGAACAAGTGCGAATATCATCTCCATTTCAGAGATAAGGGAACTGAGGCTCAGAGACATCAGGTAGCCACACAGCTAGGAAGTAGCAGAATGGGGATTTGAACCATTTTTCCACGTCTCTGGCAGTATAGGTGACTTTCCCAAGGTGACACATCAAGGGGGTGCCAGAATCCGATTGGAATCCCTGCTCAGCTGAAAACCCAGAATCTTCCCACCCAGCTATCCCAGCGAGTGGGGCTGGAGGGACACTCTGGGTAACATAGGTGGCCTCCTCCTCTCTATTTAGGAGACAGTCCAATCTCCTGAGAATTAATCCCCAGAAACAGGTGCCTGGAGGCAGACCCCTCCATGGTGGGCATCCGGCCGGATCAGGCGGACAGTCTGGGACCCAGCACAACCAGCATCCTCTGCCTGTTCTCTCCCCACCTGTGTTGCTGGCTGAAGCCAGCCCCAGACTCTCCTTTGCTCCCTTGGTCCCATTGCAAGCACTGGATGGGAGGCAGAGGAGGAGCTTGGAAGGAGACAAGGTCCTCAGCAAGGTCTGTCTGTCCCAGGAGGTAGTGGGGAGAAGAGCTGGGTGGGAGCCGAGGGAAAGGAGCACTGGGCCGTGGTTCTAGAGTTGTGGGGAAGGGGTAACCTAGCAACCCCCTGGCCCAGTGCAGTCACAAAGCCAACAGACCTGTTCACAGAACCCACAAGACTTCCCTTTGGTTTGTCCTCTTGCTCCTTCCTGCTCGGGAGGCAGGGGCTTCTCACCCACGTGCTAGCAGGCACTTTCCCTGGTGAGTCCAGGGACCTCTCTTGGGGAGGAGATGGACACTAAAGGGCTTAGAGGGGCAGAGAAAGAAAGGGAAGTTCTGTGGAGGGATTGGTGGGATCTTGCAGACCCCTGTGCCTGGCAAGGGCAGGGCAGAGGCAGACCACAATGAGGTCCCACCTGTCCCTCTCTGGAAAAGCCTGCTAGAGTCCCTGTTGACCTCTCTACAGCAGCTGTGGGTAGTCGCCCACTAGTGGCTTATTAAATCAATTTAATGGGTCATGTCTAATATTTACAAAATGAAAACAAAAAATAGGATAGAAATATTAGTGTGCATCATATGTACTACAGGTGAGTGTTGCTTCAGGATATTCCTGATTCAGTTTCACAGCACACACAAGTGCCTGCACACCTGAGTGTGAACTGGGTCCTGATGGAAAGCTGAATTTCTTAGAGTCATCACAGTCAAAACTAATTGAAAGTCTTTGTTCTTAAAGAGTATCTTTTCCTGTAGGCAGGAGGATTCATGGCTTCCAAATGCCCTGTCCTCAAGCATCCAAACATTCTACAGGACATCCGAAGCTTCCTTAAAAGGAAGCTCTGAGAATTGCTTTAAAGAAAAGATCAGGAGCCTGTGTGTCAGAACGCCTGGGCTCTGGCATTCAGCAAATCTCCCCACTTCCCTGATCTCAGACAAGGCTGACCCATCACACCCTAACCTGATGAAGGGTGGCACTGGGATCTCTGGGGTCCTTTGAAAATTCTGTGACTCTGAGGGTTAATTCTCAGAACATGCTGATTTCCTGTCTCCATTCCTAGCACTTTGCTATACTCATCTGTGCACATATATATATCTACCTACATCTCCCTACCTATCTGTTGAGGTCCTTAGATTTAGATTCTTGGTACTTTTTTTTTAAAGATGACCGGTAAGGGGATCTTAACCCTTGACTTGGTGTTGTCAGCACCACGCCCAACCATTGAGCTAACCAGCCATCCCTATACAGGATCCGAACCCGTGGCCTTGGTGTTATCAGCACCACACTCTCCCAAGTGAGCCATGGGCCGGCCCCACAATTCTTGGTTTTGATACGTACCATCTTTCATCCATTTAATTTAATTCATTCATTTAATAATGTAATCAACACCAGTAAATTGCTAACCAGCCATCCCTATACAGGATCCGAACCCGTGGCCTTGGTGTTATCAGCACCGCACTATCCCGAGTGAGCCATGGGCCGGCCCCACAATTCTTGGTTTTGATACGTACCATCTTTCATCCATTTCATTTAATTCATTCATTTAATAATGTAATCAACACCAGTAAATTCACCAAACCAAGAGCTGGAATGTCACCACTGGCCTCTCCCTACCTGCCCTTCTACCCATCTCCATTCCCTGCCCACCCTCAGAAATAGCCACTATCGGGCCAGCCCCGTGGCGCACTCGGGAGAGTGCAGCGCTTGTGAGCACAGCGACGCTCCCACCACAGGTTCGGATCCTATATAGGGATGGCCGGTGCACTCACTGGCTGAGCGCAGTGCAGGCAGCACCAAGCCAAGGGTTGCAATCCCCTTACCGGTCACGAAAAAGACCAAAAAAAAAGAAAGAAAGAAATAGCCACTATCTGAATTTTGTGTTTAACATTTCCCGCTTTTTATTGCTGTTTTCATTTTATAACATGTTTACAATAATTTTGCTCACTTTTGAACTTTTATTTTTAGACTGGATTTCATGCTACGTAGTCTTCTGGAACTTGCTTTCCTTGACTTAGAATTATATTTGTAAGATTCACCTGTGTTGTAAGTAGTTGCGTTTCATTTATTTTCATACCAATAAAGTGTTCTATTGTCTGAATGTACCACAGCTTATTTACCCATTCTTCTGCCATTGGACATTTGGGATGTCACCACATTTTTGGTGTTTTGAACTATGTTAGTATGAATATTCTGATAAATACCCCCTTTTATATAACTGCAAGAGTTTCTCTTACATCTGGGAGAGAAATTGCTGGGTGACACAGCATGAAAATGTTCAACTTTATTAGATATTGCCAATGTTTTCCCCTAAAGTGTCTGTTCAGGTTTATACTCCCACCACGAGTCTATGAGAGCTCCTGCTACTCACTTTCAACACGTGGTGCACTCGGGAGAGTGCGGCGCTGGGAGCGCAGCAGCACTCCCGCCGCGGGTTCGGATCCTATATAGGGATGACCGGTTCGCTCACAGCGCTCACTGGCTGAGCGCGGTGCGGCCAGTCTCAAAAAGGACAAAAAAAAAAAAATCACTAGTATTAAGTGCACTGGTCTTTATTCCACTAGAAACCACACAATGGCCATGGAGCTGAAGATTCAATTGGCTGAGCAGCCACTGATGAGGTAAGGCAAGGCCCTCAATGCCCACCCTGCCGACCGAGGAGGTGTGGGGGCATGGCAGGGTGGAAGACAAAGGTGGCCTTGGGGGCACTCATCAGACTGGGGGTCCAAGAGAGGTAGTTTTTCCTCAACCTCCACTGCCAGTCAGCCAGGCCCCCATTGGGTCCTCAGGCTCAAGTTAGCACAGGTTATGGGCAGGGCCCCTCCCTGGGTGGGGAGGAAGCATGAGCAGAGGGCGAGAGCACAGGAATTCCAGGGTTTTCAGGTGACTGAAAGGTTGGGGGTGGAGGAAGCCAGTTGACTGCGACTTTCAGAAGAGGTTTGCTTTACATGTATTTCTTTAAGTCTCAGATCCCTTAGTGGCAAATCAAGAATGGAACAAGAAACTCAGGGGCCCAGTCAGCCAAGTCCTCAGAGGGTCCGGGGACAGCACACCTTGCTTAGCATATCCAGAGTCCATCTATGCTCCTCCAGAGGGACTCCCTTCAGCTGGGGCCACCAACAGAAGGGAGTGCAGACAGCCATCAGGCAGGTGGTATCACCAGGCCCAGGGCAGAGAGCAGCCCTCCCTTGGATCCTTGTGGACTGATGTCCACCTTGGCCTCCAGGGGCAGAGGCACAGTGTCTTCAGGAGGGGAGGGGTGCAGGGTGGAGGACAGAACCTGAGACAGCTTGTCTCCAGCGACGCTGAGCAAGAGCTTGAAGCTTCCCTGCAGCGTCACAGCCCCGAGAGCCTCCTGAGAGTCCTGGGAGCGACCCCCATGGGAAAAGGATTTGCTGGCCTGGTCTGGCCTTGGCTCCAGCTTCGGCCCCTGGACGCTGGGTCTGGGCCAAGATTGCCCCTGAAGGCATAGGGGGAAGGGTGACAGCCTGAGCTGGCTTTTCCGGGGCTGCCCCGGTTTGTCAGCCCCCTGCTCTAGGGGGTGTATATAAGGTGCCTTTGCTCCACCCCAGGTGTTCACATGAGTAGGTGAGTCTGTGGCTTCTCTTTCTGGTTTTAGAGATGGTCTCTGGGAGAAAAGTGGGGTCTTGGGAGATTCCAAGTTCTTTCAAATGGATCCCAGCTCCGGGCTAAGGCATGTCAGGAAGACAGAGGCTCATTGGGACTGGATTGCACCCTGGGGGAGGCCCAGCTTTGGGTGCCATGGGATGGTGTGAACTCTAGGATACCACATGTCAGAGGATCTCAGGAACGTAGTCTACAATAAGCACTGAGCTCTGAGCTCGGTGGGGGCACTGCTGCCGTCAAAGGCTCCATTAGCCTCTCCTTCTCAGGAACGTAGTCTACAATAAGCACTGAGCTCTGAGCTCGGTGGGGGCACTGCTGCCGTCGAAGGCTCCATTAGCCTCTCCTTAAACCCTCTCCTCCAGTCCAAAGGCCAAGCTGAAACCTGAGAAGAAGTCAGGGCCCAGGCCAAGGAGCCACAGAGACAGCAGGCCACAGAAAGAACCGGTGATCCCAGGCATCATGGATTTCGAGCTGATCCCAGAGGCATTGAGAACCCCCAAGCCGCAAATCTCCAGTGCCTGCCGCTTTGGCCGTCTCAGCCACCACTCCTTCTTCTCCCGGCACCACCCCCACCCCCAGCGTGTGACCCACATCCAAGGTAGGGCCAGGCTGGCCAGGGCCCAGCTGGTGGGGGTCTGGGGGGTATGCAGAGGGAGTATCACTAATCGGTCTTGAGAACTGGAAAGGAAGTATTGACTCCAGCCCCCGTTTCCAGAGACCTGGAGCACACGGGGGCCTGGCCAGGGTTCTAGGGCTGCCAAGTGGCCAAGCCAGGACTCAACTTGGGGGACAGGAGAAGAGAAGCACAGGCTCGAAGGGCAGACCTCAGGTCCCTCTCGGATCGCCCTCACTGCCAGATCCCCCATGACGCAAATCAAAGAAAGGGATGGAAACTCGGCCCCGGGGCTGTGCTCTGCTCTCTGACTCAGCCATCCATCCATCAACACCGACTAAGTGTGAACTATGGCTCAGGCACTTTTGTAGGCCTTGGGGATATGACAGTGAACTTAGACTAAAGTGAACTTAAAAATGTAGTGGCTGCGCTCCTGGAGCTGACCTCTAGTGGAGAAGGAAGGAAGTAGACATGGTGTCAAGTGCCTCAAATCAAAGAAAGGGATGGAAACTCGGCCCCGGGGCTGTGCTCTGCTCTCTGACTCAGCCACCCATCCGTCAACACCGACTAAGTGTGAACTATGGCTCAGGCACTTTTGTAGGCCTTGGGGATATGACAGTGAACTTAGACTAAAGTAAACTTAAAAATGTAGTGGCTGCGCTCCCGGAGCTGACCTCTAGTGGAGAAGGAAGGAAGTAGACATGGTGTCAAGTGCCCAGGCTCCAGAGGGGGGATGGCTATTTTTAAAAGGTGGTCATGGAAGACCTGACCCTCAACATGACATCTGAGCAAAGTGCCACAGGAAGAGTGTGGGCATTGTGCACATATCAGGGGAAGAAAGTCCCAGGCAGCCCAATCGGCCCTGGCTCTGTCGGGGGAACAGCCATTGCCGATGCTGATGCTGGCGTGGAGGGAGAAGAGTAAAGAGAAGACAGGAGAGGCCCTGGGGCCCAGGTCAGGTAGGCCTTGCAGGCCACCATCGCCCCCGCTAAGCCACCTCATGGAGTCAGATGGAGCCCTTGGAATGTTGAGAGCACAGAAGTGACAGAAATGAGATATTTTAACAAGGTCACCTTGGTCTCTGTCCCGATGATGTCTGACTAGGCAGGTAGCAGTGAACAATCAGTGGCCTCATTCTAGAGATACACAGAAGGTAAAACCGATGGGATCTGATGATCGATTAAAAGTGGGGTGCAAGGGGAAGACAGGGGTTAAGGCTGGCTCCAAGGTTCTTGGCCTGAGCAACCAGGAAACGAGTGCATTGACTGAGGCGAAGAAGCCTGTGCGAGGGCCAGCGGAGGGTAGGGAGGAGCCAGGGGTTGGTCTTGGACGTGAGAGATGTGCAGCGTGAGGTGCCTTCTGGACCGTGGGGCAGAGGTATGGGGTGCAGGGGAGAGACGCAGATGCCAGGGCTGAGAGCCGCTCAAGCAGAGGGGCTGCTCTAAGCGGAGCCCCTGGATGGGATCACCCAGGAGTCCCTGTAGATACAGCAGAGAAGAACCTGAGGACAGGGCTCTGGGACCCTGAGAATAGGAAGCTGAGAATGTTATAAGAAAGCAGCGGAAATGAGGACAGCCCAGTGGGCTAGGAGGACCCAGCAGGGTGAGGAGTCCTGGGACCAAAAGGAAAGTGTTTCGGGAAGGAGAGAGCCACTGCGCTGAGTCCTGACCGGGCTGGTCCTCAAAGGCGAACTATCAATTACAGTGAAATAATCACCCGGACTTTAGGCCGGAAGGTCCTCCCTGTAAGCTGGGCCCACCGCCTCCAGGCTGCAGCCTGGCACAAGCTGACGGATGGCGGAAGTTTCCTCCAAAGGCTCTCTTTCAATCTCTCTCCCTGTGATTTGAGCCCAGGCTTGTGACAGGCTGTGACTTAATGCCTCCGCCCCAATGTCCTCATCTTTAAACTGCCTACCCCTGTGCGTTTACACCTATGATTTGTTACCCTGTCATAGGAAACCAGAAGGACCTCAGGACTAGGGCCTCAGGAAGCGTGGGTTCTTGTCTCACCTCTGTGCAACTCATTGCATGACCCTGAGCAGGTCGCCTCCCCTGTCCCTTCTAAGTGCCCCTGTGGGTAAGGTGGTTGCCGGTCTAGGTGGTCCCGGGTGCCTCTCCCCACCCCCACACCCCCTACTCTGACGACCTATGGGCTTGTGGTTAGTGGAAGAAGTGGAGCCACAGTCTTCCTGCCCACAGCCTCTCTCTGGCCTCCTGGGGCTCTTGGGGTTCCCCCAGACCTCCCTCCCCACAGCCTCTAACCCTTCACAGATGTTACTGGGAAGCCCGTCTGTGTCGTCAGGGACGAGTTCTCTCTGGCTCCCTTGCCTCAATCCACACCCATATCCCGCTGTCTGATGGGGATGCCCACGATCTCTGTCCCCATTGGGGACCCACAGTCCAATCGGAATCCCTGGCTTTCTTCTGGTGGGTACTTGGGCCAAACCCCCTCTACTCGGGGCTCACACCTCTCCCCGAGGGCTGCCCCACTTGGGTGGGCGCTTGAGCAAGAAAGGACCATTGCTGTTCAGTCGGTGGGCCCACTGGGGGACCCCACGGTTTTCCTCATTTCCTCAGACAGCCTCATCTCTACATGACTCCCTACCCCCCACCCCTGCCCCAGCTCCTAGCCCTCAGAAATGTGCCCCTGCTAGGATCTGAGGTGCTAAAGGGGTACAAGTAGAGGACGAGCAGATTTTGGCAGCAGTCATGTGACTTACAGCCATAGACAGAAATGATATTTGAAATATTCGAAAGCTGTATGCTCAGGCACGGCCAATCAGAGCCATCAGTCATAGTGCTGGAGCAGCATTCTGGAGGCCAAGCCTTGCCCTTTCCATTACTGGGGTGTGGGAAAGTCAGGTTGCTGGGGACAGGGGAGATGCTGGGGAAGGGGCCGGGGCAGCCAGTGCAGAGCAGAAAGGTTTAGCATGCTGCCTGCAGGGCTCTTTACCAACCTCTCTGGGGAATAGTTCAATATTTAAACAGCTGGCACAGCCAGGTCTCCTGAATCTCAGTCCTGGCTTCAGGTACCTAAACAGAGGCACAGCTAGATTAAACCACACACATCTTGGCACAGGTGGCCAAATGTTCTTCAGCATGTCCCAGTAATGCCTCAGGCTAGGACATCAGCATCAGTCCCCTCCAGAAGTGAAGTGGCCACACACACACCCCACCCGTGGTGTGATTCCTAATCTTTCTCTCTCCAGGGCACCCCCTCTCCCTTTCCCTTTAAGATGTGGGGCAGGAAGGCTGGCAAGGAGAGGAGACTCTGCCTAGAACCCTCCCTGCCCTCCCCGCACCAGGTGCCACAGGGAGGGGAGGAGAGGAGAGCCCCAGGTATCAGTTGGCAGGGTCTTGTCCCCTCCTCCAGAGGCCTGGAAGAGGGAGTTGGAGGAGCTGACTTCGCGGGTGGCCATCTTCACCAAGGAAAACGAGCTGAGGAACAAGGAGGTGGGTACTGAGCAGAGGAGCTGGTCTGCGAAGAGATGAGACGGATCCGTGCCCTGGTAACGAAACCTCCCAAGACGGTCCAACCTGACCGGAGGCCTTCGAAGCTCTGCTGTTGGCACTGAGAAGGAGGGGCCGATGAATACAAACATAAGGGACGAGGGTCACACCGAGGGCCCAAGGGAGGAGAGAACAAACCGACGTGGAGAAATCCAAGAAGGGTTCATGGGAGAGGTGGCACTGGGGGCCTTCAATATAGGGGGATGTTCACAAGTGGACGGGGGAGGCACTCAGAGCACAGGCACCTAGCACAGAAGCTCAGATGCTGGCAAATGCAGGAGACCTTTAGAGACCAGGGGCCCAAGTACAGGATATAAGTGGGTGGCAGTGAGGCAGAAGGTGAGAAGGGCGCTGACTTTGAATGTGGGGAGGAGGAGCTTTTTCTTAACGTCCCCACTCGGTTTAGTGTCTAATCTCACAAGGAGCAGAGAATCACTGAAGGTTACAAACAGGATGGCGGGACCTCATGGGTGCTATTTGGTGATAAAACAGCAAGACAACTGCGAGGCAGCTTGCAGGTGGTTAGACTTGGTCTTAGGACAGGCCTGGCCCTTGTCTTGGGCAACCAGAATGAAGAGGCAGAGGCCTGGCTTCTCGTTCCTGCTTGCGGCTAACTCACTGTGGCACTCAGGGCAACTCAGCAAAGCTGTCTGAGTCTCAGTTTTCTTATCTTTAAAATGGGGTGAAGGAAAGTACTAGTCCTAACTGGAACTGTCAGGGCAGGAGGCTCCTGGCCTTATGCCCAGAGGCCTGGTTTCCAGCAAAGAAAGGATGCCAAGCTGTGGGGGACAGACCTGGGGGCAGCTGAGCTAGGAATTAGGGTAGGAGGTGGGGTCTTGGCACCAGATGCTCTTTTCAAATTTCTGATGGGTGGGGGCAAGGGCAGCAGGGAGGAAGAACAAGGACCACCGGGACATGTCCAGTGTTCAACCCTCTCTGCTGAGCTCCAGGAGGAAGAGCTTTTGCTAATTTAAGCCGCCTGCAGTAAAAGGGCTCACCGCTGGGGTCTAAGACAGGTTGGGGTGGTCTGGATGACTGTCCAGTGTTCAACCCTCTCTGCTGAGCTCCAGGAGGAAGAGCTTTTGCTAATTTAAGCCGTCTGCAGTAAAAGGGCTCACCGCTGGGGTCTAAGACAGGTTGGGGTGGTCTGGATGATGCTGGGACTTGGGGGAGCACCCTGGAGGTGCAGCCCAGCCTTCTCCCTCCCCTCTCGCTGCTTGGAGTCTCTGGCCACTTTTGTCCCAGCAGAAGGAGGAGCCTCCACGGGAGCAGGGGGCGAAGTACTCGGCTGAGACTGGTAGGCTCATCCCCGCTTCCGCCCAAGCTGTTGGTCGTCGCAGCTCCCGACAGGGCCAGCAGAACCGCTCTTCGGGCAGAGATAGAGGACTCCACACCTTCCTCCTGCAGGATCAGGAGCTGCTGGTGAGGCCCTGGTCCAAGGGCAGAGGCTGCAGTGGTGCCTGTTCCCAGGCTCCCAGCTCCCCAACTAGGAGTCTTACAAACTGCTCTAAGGCATTGTCTGTCCTAAGGATACCATCGTCGTGTAAGCCCTTGAGCCTGGAAAACCTCAGCTTGGAGTTGGCAGCTTCACTCCAGTCCCCTTCTGCCTCTCAGTTTCTGTGTGAGCCTTTCCCTTCCCTGTAGGTCCTTCCCCCTCTCTGGGCCTTAGTCCCATGGTCGTTCCAAACAGGGGGCCGAACACTGCCTCAAAGGTCTGTTCCAGTGGTGGCATTTGGTGCATTAATGAAGGGAGCTGCAGTGTCCTGCCTAGTGTGCTCTTGAACCACACCCCATAGCCTGCAAGGCTAGGCCCAGCCTGGTCTCCCTCACTCTGACAGGGGTTTGGCCTGGGCTTCAGCAAAGCACAGATCCCACCTCCTCTGTGTTCAAGTTTCCGCACTGAGGCTTGAGATGAGTGCATGCCTCGTTCCGGTGGGTTAAGGTTGGAGGTCCCTGTTAAAATGCACACCTGTTCTCCAAGAAAAGTCAGACATAGAGCCAGCCTCTCACCAACTTCATGGTGACCAGTGCTTTCAAACATGCAGTCCCTTTGGAGCCTTGTAACAGTCTAGTAAAGTGGATAGAGCAGACAGGGCCCAGGACCCCCATTCTGCAGATGGGGAGGCTGAGGCCCCGCCAGGTGGTATTCCACAGCCCAGGTCCCCCAGAGAAGGATCAGCATAGCTGGGACTAGAACACAGTACTTTCTCCACCATAGGGCGGTCTCACCTTGCCTGGAATTAGGTTCTCAGGTCCTGTGGGGAGGGGGAACAGGGCAGGTAAGT